TTAATGCATTGATTCAGAATAAAAAATTACAGTCATTATTATTACAGAATTTATCTCGGTAGTTCTTAGCCTGTACTATCTATATACATATACAAATTTTTAAGCTTGCACTATCCTGCTATAACACACCTATGCCTCAAGGTTCATCCTGTGTAGTCTCTCTTCCCGCTCCTTACTTGGTTTAGGTCAATTAACTCAAAGAAGGTACATTAGGATAAAATAATACAATTTCCTTGCAGCTAAACAAGTAAAATGAGTAACTTACCCCCACTTAACAGCTTCATAACCAGCCAAAGTTCATCCTTCACCACAAAAGATGTATAATAGGTCACCACATTGGGGTGATTGCATTGACTCATTGCTTGAATTTCTTTCTGTAAGAAATACAGAGCCCAACGTAACACAGCCAGCTATCAGTTCTGCTTGTATAGAGAGAAAGTTTCATTTCCAAAGTGAAATACTATAACAGAACTTAAGTCTTGCACACAATATGCATCAAGGCACCAAAACATTTAAATTTACCTATAGATCTAAATGCAAGACAAAACATTATTGCAAAGAACACAAGGTAGGTTTGGCCAGGAGATACAGGCATAACTACATCAATTTTCTTCTGAAAGCAGCAAAGAAATTACTGTTACAGTCCCAAATTCAGAGTAAGCAGTGAAGAGTGAGCAGTCTCCAAGAGCTGAAGGTGTGGGTACAGGCTAGACAACAAAATGCAAGGAAAGATCAAAACCTACTGCCTTTCCTGTTCAAAAGGAATATGAAAAGAGTAGAATGGGAGCAGGTGAGAAAGGAGGAAGGAAGCTGTTGGACAAAGGACCACTGGTTCGGTTACCGTGGGATGGACAGGTGCACACCAGAGCCACACAATCAAACAGGAGAGGAAAAAGTAATGTTACAGACTAAAAGTCAGAGGAAACAATTGACTAGAGGAGCACACAGTCACCAACAGATGCACAACATGGCACTACCAAGTAACACCATCTATGACACGCCACAGCTGTACACATTAAGAATGACTGCCTTGTATCTGTTATTTCAAGCAGAGTCCTTTTTCTATTCAGTCTTTCACATAATTGTTCTGTAACACCTTTCTGGCAGCTCTCATTATCCTGCCAATCCTTTAAGCAGGAGTGTTTAAGGCCTCCTTTGTACCAGAGGGTTTGGCCTCACACCAGCTTAAGATCCCACAATCCTACTTCTCCCCCTCCACCTCCGGCCACACAGCCCTGATCCATCCCTGGTGCCATGCTCCTGGAGAGTGAGACAGTCAGGGAGCCAATCCAGCTAAAAACCAAACTCTTTCACCTCCCTTCCCTCCCTGAAATGCAACTGCTTTCGGGTGGGCCCATGCTACACACTGACTCACCAGCACTGGCACAAGGCAGGCACTATGGCAGTCCCACTTTGATTGATGAAAGCTGCCACAGATGCGATTTTCAACTTTCAACCTCAATTCAGCAAGTGTTTGAAAGAGGGGTTTTTTGTTGTTGTTATTTGCAATGTACTTGAGATCACCGACAGTTTCTAATAAAACGTTAATTGCGTGTATTAAAGACTCTGATTTAATCTGGTGATGCCTGTTGGTGACTATTAAGTCAGGCTGTAGTTTGACACACACTTCAGCTAGTCCTGTTGTCAAAAGTGCTCCTCCCTATTCAACTTCTGAGCCCTGAACCACAGAAGGATGAATGCCTAGATAGTCATCCAATGAGCCCGAATAACTGAGCAATTTGCACAATCGCTTCTCCCCACCCCCACCCCCCGAAGTAGTAGGTGGAAAACAGAAGAAATACATGTGGGGCAGATTTCCCTTTCCCAGCAGACATGTAAGCTTAAACACAAGTCAAATTACTGCCTCAGTTCTTAATTCAGCAATCCATACCAAATCTTAACTGTAACTCTCCCACTCTTTATTACTATTTCACTTCTTATATTGTTTTATTGTTTTCCTATGCTGGTAATATAACAATAGCTCAAAAAGTTTACCTGCCACTACTGTGCAAAACCACACCTCATCTATTTTACTCACACATTAAGAGTGCAGAAACGTAACTAATTGACTGTGGTAAGCTTCACAATCTTTAACTGAAAAGTGCTTTGAATATTTTGTCTGCCTGCATCAAGCTATCAGCAAAAATTGAGCTATCACAGTAACCATAGGCAAAGGCACCTTGGGTCTCAGCTTTGGTGACTTTTTCCGAAGAGAGTCTTTGCAAAACAAAAATAAACAAACAGAAGTCACCCCATGAGAGATAGGGGATTGCATTTTAGTCAAGAAAGTATTAATTTCAGACTTGCAGTTCTGGAGAGCCCCTATCACACACAGAATGGTAAACCTCCGCAAAATTCAGTTATTTGGCCGAGGCCCATGATATGCACAGGTGAGAAAGAAAAGCATTCACTTAAAATACACTATCAAAGAAAAAGCTTGCAGCAGGACATCCAGGAGAACACCCCGGAACCTTCTTCACATTCACGTCACTTCAGACATTCGACAGCACCAAAGACATAATGGTACTTAAAATTTAAAGTCTCTCCCTCACCCCTCTGTTTCTCCTTCCCTTGTGCTAGCACAAGTATTTGTGCGCTGCATCAGCAAATATGCCCAGGTTAAAAGCTAACTTCTTTTTGGCCAGGTTATTCCTGATCCAGTTTCACTGAGCAGCTGCACAAAAATGCACGTCAGCCTAAGGGCAGGTGGGTGACACAGTTAATAAGCAACTGCGAGACAGCTCCTTTGGTGCTCAGCTGCAGTGCCCGCAGGGCCGGGTCCAGCTCCCAGTGACCAGGCAGGAGCCACAGCTCCGTGGGTGCCTCCCCGGGGCCTCCTCCACGGACACCCGGGGTACAGCTGTTTGAGGGGTTGGGCATAACGCACGAGGGGCTCCTCCAGAGAGCCTGCCTTGAAGGGCTACCCAGAGCAGAAATGCAAACAGCTTAGACAAATCTGTTCAATCAAATAAGCCATTCTATAGAAGATGCTTTGGTTTGTAGTGTTGAGTTTTTTGTTTGTTTTAAAAAACTGGAGGTAAGGGGATAGGGGAAGATACCCAGTCAGGACAATACTAAGGACAGGAACTTTTTCCTTGGCTCATGGGGTTAAGTTACGTTTAGCTTACAATAGTGAGAACACAGGACATTGCAGGAAACAGAGTATTGAATTTCAGGAGTTTGGCAGTTTGTGTAACCTTAGTATTATTTCAACTCCCTCCCCCACTGCCTTTCTATTTTAATTGACACTGGCCCAAATCCTAAGTCTGCTTACATGGGCACAAAGCTTGCTGCATTTTCCACTTCTCTGGAGGCCACACAGCTGAGAATGTGTGAAGGGTGCCTTTGCACACCACCCATAAGCACTCAGCAGCAGGATTTTACAGAACAGCATGTTCAGAGAGCAGACAAAGTTTTAGAACATCCCTGTGCAAATGGAAACTGATCAGAACAGTAAGTGATTGAAAACTGAGCAGACTCAAAAACGGTGTTAAAAATTGTGAAACGCAAGAGCATTCTAAGTATTATCAACTGAAATAGAAATGTTACTACAGTTGTAACGGGAGTTTTGGAGGTCAATGATGACCTTTTCCAGAATAACTTCTCTATTTTTTAAACAAAACTTTAACTATTGGAACTGAGTTGGAGTAAGTATACTTCCCCTCACAGAAAAAAAAAATTAATTATGTATGTGTATGCATACACATGTGTGTATGCACATATAAAAATAAAAGGAATCATACATGCACACCCCCCCTCTTTTTTTTAACCCTCCTAACCAGGAACTCTGAAAGCTAGAATTTATGTTCAGCTCAAAACAGATCAACAAATAAAAGAAACACAAAATCTGAACACAGAAAAGCAGAAACTGACTTACGTTAAAAAGACGGTATGGACAGTTGTCTTCATACCAAAAGAAAGCAATATGGGACCAAAAATTCAAGACCTGTTGCCTCATTTGGCAGACAGCAGAGGCATGTCAGCAGTAAAGATACTCAAGCACTTGCTAAGGTAACTTTGTACAAGCTGGTAAATAACTGCAGTCATTTCTCTAGACCACCTGGATCTCTCTTGCAGATTTTTGGCAGTTTTGTCCGGTTTTATTTGTTGTAATTTTTTAATTCTTAATTCCCATTATTAGTTTAAATTCTAATAAAAAAAGATCAAATTTTGACCATTTTATATGACAATGATTAGTATTTCTGGTTTTACAGAAATGTTCTTTACAGGCTGTAGGCATTAATACATCATGCACAGCATCTCACCTTGGCCTGTTTTCTTTCTAAACGCAGTTCAGAATTTATTTTCTCAGTTTTTAGTTGACAGAAGTCTCACTACCTCAGAGGTAGCTTCCACTACCACAATCCTCTTTTAAAAACCACAACAATGTCGCATACAAGCTGTTACATAAACTGAAGGTGAATGCCATCAATCACCAAGGGAAGAGCATTTTGGGTCCCTCCACTGTAAACAAGCCATTTTATCTGAAGAAACTGGATGGACCATACCCTCTGTATCAAATTCAAGATATCTTTTGCACTGGCAATTCCCTGCTGAGGAGATCATTTCCTTCAGAGGCAGGAATTTCTGCATTAGAAAAAGCCCACAGTCTCTAGGCAGTAGTATAACCTGTGGAACAGAAGAGAGCGTTCTCACTTTTAGAATGGTTTTGTGTCCTTCAACTCTTGTTATGCTGCCAACATATAAATACACATTAGTCTTCTAAGCACCTGACTAGGAGCATTAGGAAGCAACAGGTTTCACTTTTTAATTGTTCTTTGCGACTTTGTCTGGATTGCCGTAACCAGTGCAGAGGAAAAACTCTTGCAGTCCCTTTTACAAAGGGCCTCTTACAGGTCCCTTCCTCCTCTGATCAGTGACCCAAACAAACAGCATTCCTCAAATGGCTTGTTATGGCCTATTGGATAAGTGAGTGTTACTAGCTTTAACAAGAGTTTCCTTGTGTAGATGGCAGTGCAGCCATTCCTACTTTTCCCCTCAAAAGTTATCATTACAAAACAATCCAAAATTTTTTGCCATGTTTTGGTGCTTTAGACATTTTAAGGAGACCTACTAAATTTTACCTTTATATTTTTAATCGGTGTTTAACCAGAGGAAAATGTATCTTTCCTTGATGTTAAGAAAAATCAGACCACCAAACAGTAATCTCTTGAAAATCGAGTCTCCAGAAAACAAGGGGTAAGGTTCTTCCCACAGTTCTCAACAGTTGGTTATCCCAAGATTCAAACTGGCACTTCTTGGTTTTGTGGCATTAGAAAATATACATTAGTAAAAATATATTTTTAGGGGAAGGGCATACTTCTTTCAGATTATTTTCAAATCCTTTTCTCACTATTATTCTGTATAAAATTCTACCCACACTCTTGGACCAAGCAAAAAACAAAATAAAAACAGAAGATAGTCTCCATGTAATATGTTCCCCTCTGATTTACTTACAAGTAATTCATCCATACTGGTTTGGCATTTTTCTAAGTTGATCCTCTTTATTGCTACGCGTTCTTGCCTGGGTTTGCATAGCGCTGCCTGGACAACTGCTGTAGCACCACTACCTGAAAAAGGGCAGAAAAGGAACAGAGTCTTAATATAACAGGAATTTAAACCAGTGAACCAACACAAGAACTCCGCACAGACGAAGAAATTAAAATCTGCCGTTTATCCTTTTTCAGTGCTTTCTCCACACGTATACCTTTCTACTAGCAAGACAGCTTGCACACTTCTCAAATGGAGGAGAAAAACCTCAAAAGTTTCTGTTCCATACACCACAAAAAATTCCCAGGCCAACAACTTAAAATCATGTGCTTATTTATCAAGTCACACCCACCACCTCAATGCATTTCATATAGTTTGGGAACCATTAGACTTTTGTCTTTGGGACACATCTGTTTTAATCAAGAACATGACTTGCACAGTTCACAAAATTAAAAGCATTAGAGTGGGGCAGAGCTTTATCAAATGTTATTTCTTTCTGTTCTTTCAGGTCAGTCCCTGTTTAACCAGGTTTTTGTTCCCACTATGCAATGAACACAAAAATATCGGTAGAATTGTACATGCCAAATCTTCTAAAGTTTCACCTGCA